AAGACCATCTGATTGTACCTCATATTCATGCCTCAAAGAGAGAGCAAGTGTGAGGAACCTTATATGAACAACCAGCCATTGAGAGTTGTAATGTATACATTTGCCTTAACACAAACACTGATGCAACCAGGAAAGGATCTGAAAATGAAAGATACGTGGGATTCTATAGAAAAGAAAAAGGCATTTATGAAAAGTTCATGAGTGACAATAAACACTATTTTTCAGTGAATGCAAGCATATGCAAAAAATCACAGACATATTAAGAAGGGGAAATTTAAGTTGTTAAGCGAAATAAGAACTCACCTTACACGCGGAAGAGCTAATGAAATCCCACAGATATATAGAGATTGATTTTGGCTTTAGGAAAGGAGATGAGATCTATGTGCAATTAAAAAAAATCAAAATAATAAAAACATATATTAACAATCAAATATACAACGGTTAAATCTAAACTCAGAAGTCATATTGTTGGGTGCAATAGATAAAGATAACAGAGGGTAATATATTAAAAATGCTTTAACTAAGAGGAACTAAGAGAGAATATTTTCAAAGTAGAATATATGAGAAGGAGAACATGTTATATAATGAGATTTAGACCTGAGTAGTAGTTCAACGGAAGGCCTTGGGTCGTGCGGATATTAGTCACCCACCAAAGCTAGCTACACTCTAAATCGAAGAAAAATTAAGAGAATTTTTTAAAAATTCTAAATCCTAAACTTTAGTGAATCTTCTTTCTTATTGAAATTCCGAAGAGGAGTAAAAGATTCATATATTTATTTGATCTTACCTTGCCCAGTTGCCCTCTTAGGGTAAGACAGTAAAGGTGAGGAATGAGAAATTATGGAGAGACATATGAAGAATGATCCAGAAAACATACCCTTACTTTTGTTTTAAATAACTAAAGTAGAAACATGTCCAAGTTTTATTGTGCCAAAAGTACAATATATTTGATGGAGCATAAGTGGAAATCGGCACAGTGTTCTCCATCAGCTCTTAGCAGATGGATTCCATCCCTGTTTATTGGTGAAGATTCACAACTTTTGTTCGGGTTCGATAGTGAAGATGCCGAGGGAAGAGATGGTATTTGGATCCTTCTAGATAAATGTGTAACCACACACGCGAGAAAGTTTCATTGACAATAGCGAGCAACACAACTTCATCTTTTCATATGCTTTTAAACCCCATTTATGTTCTTGTTTCGTTCCAAAAAATAGATGGGTAATTGAATCTAGAGTACCATGTTTGATAACTCATCCATAACCTCTAGCAATTGGTATGGGGTGTACACTTGTGCATAAACAAACACGGTTCAATTTCATAAAATGTGAACTCTTTATTAGATCAGTCAGTAATTAGTAATATGTTATTTTCTTATGGAATCGCAAATATGTAAGGACAACATAAACCTTCACATCAGCCATGAATTTCAGACAACATAAACCTTCACATCAGCCATGGATTTCATATATAATTTTGGGACATACCTGAAATTATGAAGACTTGCGAATCGGTTAACTGGTGTTGGAACAAGAGGGATGGAAGAAACTATGCTTTTAGAATTATGTTAGAGTGTTTGTGCTTGGAATGAGTTGAAATCTTTTTGCTTGGAGTGTGAAAGATGGAAGACGGATGGTTCTAGAATATGGAAGACGGATGGGTCTATACCTTGCGTTTGGAATTGAAATCAGTCCATTTGTTAGTGTAAATTGCAATTTTGCCCTTGTATGATTGATAGAATATCTGTTTTACCAGTGATCATCCTCTCCATCACATTTCTATAATAGAAAAAATTTAGCAGTATACACACAAAGCGTCATATAGTTTATGATCAACACCTTTTGTTATCCATTTTTTCGTGTATATCATCATACTTTAGTCTTAAATAACATATCTTTTCATGCAAATGCTTGAGAAATGTCTCTGAATTGACTAAAAGAAAAAACTCTAAAGAAATTAGAAAAGCAATGATGACAAAGGTCTATATTACAATAATATCCGTACAATAAAATTAAGTGAAGAGACCAAGAGCATCTAGAACTATATATAACCACGAGACAAGTGAAATTGAATGAGAGTTGAAATCTTTTGAAGGATAATTACCTCCATCCGACAGTCTTGATTCTTTTTTAAAAGGTTAACATAGAAATTACACCTACATACACTTGTATACCAAACAGATTTTAAAGGAGCATAAGAAAACTTAAGGTCTAATTTGCATTATTTGTTCAATTCTCTCTAATTGTAAGTGTCATTAATTAAACACACTTTTTATAAGGTAAAAGTTAATATTTGAAGAACACAAGTACTTGATTAAAATGCTCATCTGCTGAAAAAGAACGGTCCAGTCTAGCCATATAAACTCATCTCAACCCATATCGACAGAAAGTTAAGTTAAAAAAAGGAATATTTAGACAATATTTTGTATCAACATTGTTCCCCAAAATAATCCACTTGTCAAAAAATGGTCATTTGGCCACTTTATTTTTCAAGCAAATGCGCTGCTTTTCTTCTTCTCTGATGCCCTCAATGGTTGTGCACGTTTTGTCAAATTTTCCTCATTTCAAATGAAGGACACTCATAGAAAAATTGACTCAATATTTTACCAAACGCAAAAAAGCTAAAACTTTACTTAGCACTTAAATTTAAGCCAATCCACGGGCAAAAAAAAGAAAAAAGGAGCTGCAGCGGGAAAGGTTGGCTTGAGAAAATTGGGGGTGGGGGTGGGGGGTGGAGCTGTGAAATAAGGTGATAGTTATTTTCCTCCCCAAAGATCTGACTTAAATAATATAATTCACAAAACTACATTCCCGTGGGGGTTTGTTCTCTATGATCATCTTTTCACATGATAACAGCAACCACATCTCTGCCGTTTCCCTGTCTACCTCTTTGGACATATGAAACAGCAGTTGAGGTTGAAACCCGGATCACGCCTTTGAAGAATTACGCACAGAATTCCATCTGCACCTGTCACTTCTGTTGATCAATAACAAAGACAGCTAACTGCAACTAACAATTGGAAGCAAGAAAAATGACCTTGAATGGAGATATGCTAGCATTCCACTGCGGTTTAGATTAGATTTACAAGCACAAGTGATCAATGCAATGATTTTACATGCATGGGTAATCGAAAAGGAGATGAATTCCATGAAAACCCATAGAAATGATTTTGAGAAGCAAGATATACGAAGTTGCAAGAATATGGAAGGGACCTTACTTTACATTCACTTTCTTCAACAACAAATAGACAAGCAACATACCCAGTGCAGTCCCACAAGTGAGGTCTGGGGAGGGTAGAATGTAGGCAGACCTTTCCTCTACCTTGGGAGATAGAGAGGTTGTTTCTGATAGACCCTAAGCTCAAGCAAAAATGAAGATTTATCAATATCCGGACTCGTGATTTATTATCATCCTCCCCTTTTCTCTTCCCCAATTTCTACTCTACTTCGACTCCTTCTGTCCCAGGTACTTAAAAAACACAAATAGCATACTGGGTTTATAGCATGAAATTATGCAGAATGTTTCTTCACTTTAATAAAGTAGAGCTCATCTAAAAGAACCAACAGGAAACACTCACATTAGATGAACACCACACATTTAAGGGAAAGAACATGAAACTTGAATCAATTGATATCCTCATTCATCATATATCTTCAGTCTAAATTTAAGTTGCAGTCTTTTGGAAATGCTACTGAAGATATGACATAAGCAACTTATCTTTAGCTGCAAATAAAAAAAGGGGTGTTTATGTGGACAGTATGTCCGACTACTAAATAATGTTAGTGAATGAGACTAACAATTAGGGTGAAGCGATCTGGACATGTAAACATAACAAAAGTGCAGAATGTACAACTTGAGGGATGAAAAGACAGTATAGTTATGTCTCGTAAGAAAAATTTACATGCATCAACTAAATTAATGATAGAACAGTTGAGCATTTTAAGAAAGACACGAATACATTGTACCTACTAAAATCTGTCCACAGTTCGCTTGATTGACTAAGGGTAGGCCTCAACATTCTCCATATACAAGAGATATTCAGTACTAGTAAATAATGATATTAAGTGATTGAACCAATGTGCCTTAAGCTGATCACTAGAGTCTAGAACCAAAAAGTTTATATAATACTGATGCAAGTGCAATGGACTGAGCAGCAGAAGAAAAACAATCATAAAGAATTGGACAATCAAAGGTATGGAAAATTGCATGAATAAAGAATGTAGTGTAAAATGATGAAAAAATTAAGAAGCAAGGTGCAAGTGTACAATACAAGAAGGAAAACCTTCTCCCTCTTGAATTATTGTTGGATCATACGTACAGTAGTCTTGTTCCTGCTACTGATTAATCAAGTCAGTTCTGAGGAAAGACATCTTGGCCAAAATTTCTAAATGCAGCAGGACTTTAGCAAATAACTATTGGAAAACTGAAACGTGTCTTAAATAAGAGCTGCGACTTTCTGCAGAATCTGGAGACATTGATATGGAACTGTTGCAAGCAGGGACGGAGCCAGCTTGCATGAAGGGGAATCCTAATTCCTATTAATAAATAATATATGTACAATTTTTGTGTATACATAAAATGTTTGATTTTCGTTACATTACGGAAACTTCTAGTGTAAGGAATAGGGATAAGGTGGTTTAAAACTTGTTATCTAGGGAACATGAATAATTACTTATGTATAAAGTTAATCTTACCAGTTTCAATAAAAAAATCACTTATGTATAAACATAAATTAGTTTTATAGTTTCATACACCCAACTTACATTTTGGGTCAACTTAAAAGAAGGGTGATTACACTGTGAAAGAATGCTACAAACTAGGATGTTCTGTGAATCGTATGCTTGAGGAGTGGGGTCCTGGAAACATGTTTGGAGAACTAGACAGCCTCATAATTCACAACTGCCAAACTTAACGATATATTACATTTTAGCATGAACAAGACCTAAATAAGACCCTCGTGTATAGGACTCCCCAATCATATATCTACTAAACCCATTGTACTTGCATAAACATAAATTATTATAAACAAGACATAAGCTTCACACAGAAAGTCAGCCTAAATTCCAGGACTGCAATTCAATACCCAATTATTCATTTCTATTGGAGTGTCCAGTCTGAATTGAATTTCCAAATCATAATCCACAAGATACATAAGCATCTGAACATCTCAAACCTTATCTAAGCTATAAACTACAGAAAGTGAAGAGATTAGCAGGTCGGTGTTTCAAAGTACCTATCTCGCAAGAGGATCTCCAGACAACTCAGTGGGGGTATGCGTCTCCATACTTTGATTCATTTTGAGCTCCTCCTCATACTTCTTCAATCTCTCGTTCCACATTTCCTTCAATCACATAACAGTAATTTATACAGGTGATCGCTCTTTGGCGTAGGCAATTTAACCTAGAATAAGAAAAAGAAGATCGCAAAACCTTGTATTGAAGTTCAGCGCGATGCATAAGATAGAATCCAAGAATGCCTCCAAAAATAGTTCCTGATATAATTCTAACATATCCCCATCTCGGCGATTTCATTGTTCTCTCTTATTTCTAGTCTCCGTCTCCGTTTCCGATTGTTTTCCTTCGATTTTCCTCTTCCCCCTTTCTACCCTGAATCCGAAATCTGAGATTATTGACTCACATATGGCTCTTCGAAAGTGGGCCACAACTCACTCCTATGATGGGCTCTTCCAACTGGGCCGAATAAACAAGTTTGTGCAAGGATAATCCATATTTTGAGGGTGGTATTTAAGTTTTGTCCTTTAAAGTTTAAATTGATAATTTGTACTTTAATTAAAAGTTTTAGATTAAAGTAGTATTATTTAGGGATAAAGGTCTGAAAAATACCTCAACTTTGGTTGGATTTGTTGTTGCGATACTAAACTTTCACGAGGACCTTTTACCTCCCTAGACTATTTAATATCGTATTTTAAACATATATATTTGCCCACGTGGCCATAAAAAATAATGCAAAATTATAAATAATAATGTGTCCACGTGGGCACATATATACCTTTAAAATACACTATTAAATAGTTCAGGGGGTAAAAAATACGGTATTAAATAGTCTAGGGAGGTAATAGGTACTTATGAAAGTTTAGTACCACAACAACAAATCCGACCAAAGTTGGAGTATTTTTCAGACTCTTATCCCTATTATTTATGACCTAACTTTGCAAGGTTGAAATTTAGAATTTTTTTACCTCGTTCGACATGAGTTATGTAGTATTTAATTGGGAAAATTGTATGAAATAGCAAACTGTTAATTCAAATTAAATGTTATAGCCATAGTTTCTTTTATTTGTAATTCGCAGCAAACATTCCATGTTTTTTGCCATTCCATTTGTATACCGAAATATACAAATAGACCAAAATATACAAATGCAGGACCCATTTGTATACCGAAATATACAAGTAGACCCAAATACATAATTTTTATGTATATGTATACCGAAATATACAGATTAATAGCTATAGCATTCATAAAGTTTGTTGTGGAGCGCAATTATACAAACTATAGCTATAGCATACAAATATGATTTTTATATTTGCTAAACCTAAAATTTACTCTATTTAATTTGCAAGAATTAGTTATTTACTCTATATAAGTGTAGAGAACTTTTTACCTTTGTCCAACATAAGTTTTGAAAATATTTATCTTATTTGACAAAAGTTCACTATGATAAGTTATGCCTCTAAAATATAACTTTTTGTGGTTTTGAAACTAAACTTACATATCTATAAATAGAAATTCTATGGAAACTAAGTTATGTTGTAGCTTATAGATTTTGATCTTCTATGGCATAATGTTCTGAAATTGAATTTATGTCTTGTAAGACATTATTTATGTGTCTTGTGGAATTTTTTCTTCGTAAGACATAATTTGAGTCTTGCAATTTTTTCTTTTAATGTCAAGGTATCTTGAACCAATTATTTATTATTACTTAGTATGTTGAATGACAAAAACAAAAAATCATTCATTCAAAAGATAAAATTTAAAAAGGGACAATTTCACAAATAGCCATTAAAAATAACTTAATTAGGCTCAATGGCTATAGTTTGTTAATAACGATTCGTAGCTACATGTTAGAGGGAGGAGAGAGGCGAGCAAGAGAGGGTGAGAGTGGAAGAGTGAATTGCATTTGTATATCTGTCGAATTGTATATGTATATCGATCAGATGATTGTATATATGTATTGTATATCTAGTGAGCGATATTGAGAGAGGGAAGAGAAAGGCGAGCGAGATTGGGAGAGGGAGGAAAGAGACGAACAAGAGACAGCTGAGCGTGGAGGGAGGCGAAATGTATTTGTATATCTGTTATATACTTGTATATGTATATGTACAATTTATATATATAAAATAAAGGTGCACACACTTTAGCACCTCAACACCTATACTAAAGCGCCATTTAAGCGAGGTGAAGCGTATACCCTGGGCTTCGGTGAGCTTCAGGGATTAATGAATTTAAGTAAGCTTTAACAACATTATCAAGAAGCCAAAGAAATATGAAAATTAATGTATCAAGTATGGTAATTCAAGAGATTTTAGAGGGAATAAGGAGAAACCTAAACAATATATCATTATTTGTGAACCTTTTACTTTTGAAGCTTGTACTAATTATTATAGCATTGCATCTATTCGACTCAAATGAGCATCTAAATAAATTTCAAGATAATTGAAATAAAAAATTGACACAACGGAACAAGTCAATTGTCAGACAAGAAGAACAATATTCCTATTCTTCTCATCACTAGATGGTTGATGAAATGCTTGTAGTAAATTTTAGAATCCAGTGCCCCATGCTTTGTGATTGTGAAAACCTCTTGTAACTTATAGAAAATTTAGCATTAGAAATTCCAAGTTGGATATAGCTCAAGCCACATTATAAGAATTGAATTTAAAATTCGACACAATGAACAAATCAATTGAAAGGTAGGAAAGAATCTAGTCCATTCTCTCCACCATCAGAAACCGAATGCTCCTATCTCTCGGCAAAGATCGTGTGAGTGTGCAGTTATGCTTCGGATGAAAGGAGGAGAAGTAAATCAAAAGACAGTAGAAAGAATAAGATAGTCGATGGCTTAATGGGAGCAGATATCATGCTATGCTAATGCACAACAGAGAAGCTATATGCTTTCTCCCTTTGAATAATCAAGTTCTAGTATAACAATCAACTTAACACAATGATTTTAGTAGCATAAACGATATAACTACAATGACTTTAAGCAACTTGGAAACAACATCATCAGCTAAGAATTTACTAAGAATTAATGTATCATTCTTTAAAAGTTTGAACAGGACTTGCATAAAATATGTTATGTGCAAAGGAATGAAGACCTCCACACTTGAAAGCAGATATTAGACATTCACTACATCAGTCTTCTAATGGAACCTCATCTACAATGCTAAAGATTCTATAACAACTGAGAAGAAGTATCGACAAACAAGTCCCAGACACTCGACAAGTCTTTATGCTCCTAAAACATATGAAGTCCTGAATCAATTTGAAAAGTCCCAATTTTATATGCAGAGGGCATGCTATTGATGTTAAGCAGACAAGTTGAACCACATAACAGCGGCTTAAAGATTACTATATTTATACATTATATTAGAATGTAAAAGCTATGTTGGTCAGACTATTCAAAAATATCAACGAGTGCGTGTCGGATTTGCCAAAAATAATGTATTTTTGGAGAATCCGAGATGGGTGCAGCATCAAAAGTAGAGAGTCCGCGCATCTAAGTGTAAAAGTACAATAAAAATAAGAAATTAACTGGATCCACGTCATGCTTTAAGTAAATTTAGAGGTTCAAATAGCTGAACCCGTGACCTTTCTTTTTTCTTTAGAAAAACAATTGAAGAAGCAAGCAAATTCCTCCCTCCTAATAATAAGTTGTTGGACAATGTCAAATGTGGTTATCAATGACTTGCTGCCTCTTGAGAAAAGAGGAGAAAGTGGTTGTGGCAGCTCAGGTGGACAAAAGGGATGAGGGAGAGACTTCACCTACAGGACCAAGAGGGAGGAAAAATCCTCATAGAGATGATATAGATTTAAAAAAACAAAGTAGCAGCAAGCAAACTGCTGGTTATACAGAATCAACAGTTCGTTCGGAGAAGTTTGATGTAATTTTGCTGCATAGCATGTGCAATGGAAGGGAAGCATTGACAGCTTACCGCAAGAAGAATGCTAGAACGAAAACCACGGCGCAGAAGGGGCAATCAAAAGGATCTACTGTAGGGACAGGCGGCTGCGGGATGAAATAGTGTGTCAAAAAGGAAATCGTAATTTAAGGTCTCTTTTAATAAAATTGTGCAGAGACTCTTGCCACCGATGATTGCAGGAGTGCAACTGAACTGCTGAACCAGATTAGACTCCATTCATCTCTTTTTGGAGATGGAAACCATATATTAGCTCATTGCTTTGCAGATGGTCTGGAAGCACGTTTGGCAGGCACCGGGGTTCTAGTGACACAGAACCAATGATGTCCAGCCAAGAGCATCTTCATTCATACAAAAGGGAAAGCCAGAGAAGGGGGCCTGCTGGAAGCCCTCGCCCCAGATTTATACGACACTCGTCAATAAGAGAACATCAGCAGCTGATTTTTTAAAGGCATATCATTTGTATCTAGCATCATGCCCATTCATAAGATTTCATTTTTCACAAATTCTACAAAGTACTAATTTCACAATAAACACCATATGTGTAGTGCTCATTCCTAAACAATGGTACACCTTTACTAGTTACAACATACATACAAAATATACACAAAACCACATCCACACTCTAGGACACAACATCCAGTCCAATTCTATTTCCTTGAGTAGGATTTTGTAATGTCCAAAAGGGGCCGCGTAAGTACCCTATCCTGATTCAGTATCCTCTATATTTTTCTGTACAAGTGACATATATGTATTACAAAGAAACACCCAAGATATAGACAGGTCCGACTCTTGTTAGGGCTACACTTTAACGGCTGCTGCTGGTTTGCCCCTCTTTTCTCCTGTTCTTCAATGATTTCTGGCCAGGTTGCTGCTTCATAGAAGCACCTACTAAAATTAGCCGAGACATAACATAGGCCAATAGTTCTTCATGATGGGAAAATGTAAAATCCAAATGAGCGTACTCAAACTCATTATATGACACCTCCACACCTGCATCCTTCATCAGCTTATAATGTTTCCTTACCATGGATGGCCTGATGACCTTGTCCTTACGCCCAGCAACAAGATCAACTGGAATATCAATAAGGGAATAGAACTCCCCCAAATCTAAAGGCTGAGGGGAACCATAAGCTTTCATGTTCGCAGCTGCACTCCCATAGTCAAACATCATAAACTTCCGAGTGTGCTTGATCTGTGCCAAATGAAGGGCCACACGGAATGAAACAGCTGGCATATCATTCATATTGTAGTGTGGCAACCCTAAGACTCCAACCCAATTGGAGCTGTCTCCACCAACCAAATAACTGATGAGAGTTTGCACAAGGCCTCCAACTGCTGGTAAGTTATGGAAGTCTCGGGCCAACTTGTTAAACAACATGCGGAAAAACCGAGTGGGAATATAGAAAGCTG